CAAGAGACCGCGTCTGCCCCTGAACTTCCTTCAGGGGAAGCAGAAAATACTATCTCTCTTGGGCCCCAAGCAGCTTGACCACTTTTATTCTGGCTTCTGAAATACAAAGCCAACTAGAGTTTTAAACCTGGGTTGATGACAGGGAATTTAAAGAAAGACAGTATCCAGATAATACATACTTATATGTACTTCAAACAGTTCATACTGAGACTAGTCTACATTGAAAATAGTTTACAAAGCAGAACGCTTTTCACCATTCAGGCCATGTGTTTACGGAGCAGTCTGCCATTGCTGAATCCCACTTTCTGTCTTCCTTCTAATACAGTACTGCTGTGTCCCCAACCAACCCCATAAGACACATTTGCAGCTATGAACAAGAATGTCATTTTCTTTTTATGTCAACAATTTCTATTGATAATATCGTATCTAATGCATTCATTTCCTAGATTGCTGTCTGGGGCCCAGACTATATTTAAGCCATGGCTGATGTGCAGAAGAAAAATTAAATTTGACTTGTGAGGTTTAAAGACATGATTTTGTCACGGAGCGGGACCTCTATTTTGACATTTTCCTTTAAATTCATTTAAACTTAGAGAATTTCAAATTCAATACAGTTCCATCTTTTTCTCCCTCGTCTTTTGTCTTGAAATTGCCTTCCTCGTATATAATATATATAAAGACTGGCAATTCTGGAAACTGAAATAGAAGTAGTACATCTCCATTTAAAGGAGTACAATGTAAAAATGGAAAGGAAAGCATGTCAATTTGAGATCGACCCAACAAATTTAGTTCCCATAAAGGCTAAATCACATAGCCAAGGCTTGATGATAAATCATTAGAGTTTGCCAGTTTTGTATGAGATCTGTAGTAAGCCATCTGGCTTATTCAGTTTACATCAGGGCAACGAGTGTTATCCCAAGTTTCTGATATTTCCACAGCTCATAAGTAATGAGACTACTGGCAGAGGCTCTATCATAACCTAATTTCTGGGGGAGGGGGGATTTTATTTGATTTTTATTTGTTTTCCATAGCAAATCAAAGTCTGAATGCCACCTCAGAAAAACAAAAATGCATTTCACTGAAAGACTATAGTAGCCAAGTTTAGCTATAGCCATTTGCTAAATCCATCCACTTACCCCATAATATGCTCGTGTTCTCCTTCTACACGTTTCAAGAAGGAAAACATCAAGAGCACAGTTATGCCTGCATGATCCACCGCCTAACTTACTTTCCTTTTTGCAAACGTGTTGCAGCAGAAAGTACCTTTTAGGAGAATGCACTCTGCCTGTTCCCAAAACAGACTAGAAAGAACTGTTCGACCCCAGGCTTCTGTGGTCAAACAGTTCTTTCTAGTCTGTTTGCCTCCTTTCCCTTTCTTCCTCCACTATTCCTTCAGGTTACCAGCTCCACCCCGTTCCATGCACTTCCTAACCTCAGAGAGTCTAAAGCCAGCTGGAGCTGAAGCTGTTGGCTGGTCTTTCCCTTGAAAGAATGGGGCTTAAGCAGCAAAGCAGATGCATTTTTAAAAGTCGATGTGTAAAAGATGAAACCTTGTACATCACCTTTAAAATACTTTATAAATCTCCTCTCTCTCATCTCCTCTCTTGCTGCTCAATTATATAGGACGCTTTCTGAAAGTAGAGCTTTATTCTGGAACCACGGTTCTCAAACTTCAGCCTGCATCAGAGTCACCTGGACGACTTGCTAAAATACAGGGTGCTGGTCCTCCACTCAGACCCTTTCATTCGGTTAGTCTGGAATGAGCCCTGGGACTCTGCACTTGTAACAAGCTTCCGGGTGATGCTAACGCTGCAGGTCCAGGGTCCATACACGGAAAACTACGAGCCTAGACAAGGAGCAAATCGCTAAAGGAAGACAAAAGATCAGGAATTGAAGATTCTAACTCCCATCAACCTCCGGTTGTGTGGCTCTGCAAACGCTGAGTTCCCTGGTACACAGAGATTAACACAGGAAGGTGGAGTTAAGAGCAGACCAGCTGCTTGACTTATTTCCCTTCTCTGCTGGCCCCTTAAGATACTCAGAACAAAAAGTGTCAAGAAAAGGAAATCAAATTATGCAAATAAGTATGATTGTTTTCAGCCAGTCAGCTCTTTAGATTTCCACTTGCATCTTGGCTGCTTGGAGGACTATGCAATGGGTGCCTGAATCAGGCAGAGTTGGGTTCGAGTCTTGCTACTTGCTGTGCGTCCTTCAGCAAGTCAGTGAATCTCTGTGTTCTCATTTCTCCGAACATCAAGCCTGGAAATAATAATCGAGCCTACCGGTAGTATTGCTATGTGCATACAATTTCATTCTGCATGTGCGTTGACAGGACTGTACACAATAAATGTTAGCTTTTATCATGAACGGCAGAGAATATTCAATATATTAAATATTTTAAGATCTATTTGATACAGTGGGTTCAGTTATTACTGCCAATAAATGGCGAGTAGCTACTATGTGTCAGATGTATAACAGTACACAACTACATTAAAATAATATCCTGTCAAAATTTTTGCTAAAATTTTACTGTGATTTGGAAAATTTTGACTTTATGTGAACTTATATTAAGGAAAATACTGGCCTCCAAAACTGGCTAACTCGGGAAATTGAGGGGATATGTTTACTAACCACGAATTTTGTTTTGACAGACACTAAAATAATAGAACGGATGGAACAAGGGGAAAGTATTCTGCAGATACCTTGGCCTTATATTATTAAGGGTATATTTTAGACCCTCTAAAAGACCACAAGCCCACTTTTCCCAAAAATCATTATATTTATGTAACAAAACAACAGGGAACAAATTTGGCCAAGGTATCCTATTTTCAGTTCACAGAAGTGATGTCATTTTTTTTTTAACCCATCATGTCAGTCAGAAACTTACTGATGAGTTAGTAACAGGAGCAATGTTCAACCTAACAGTTCTTCCCAGTTCCTGAGAGAAGTCACCCTTCGATCAACTGAGTCCCCACATTTATCAGGCCACAGCTTTAGAAATATATGATGAAAGCATTCAGTTCTGGGCACAACACACTTTGGACTCAATTTTCAAAAGGTTAATGTGCTAGATATCACAGCTTCTTGATGTTATTACCCCCCAGGACTGCCTCTGTTCTTGCCTCCTCTCAGATTGCCTGTCCCCAAGAAGGGTATCAGAACCACAACACCTTAGGAGCTGGATGGGGGTCTCAGATACATCCTAGTCCAGCCCAGAACTTTATTACTGAAAAAGCTGAGGTCCATGAAGTTTGAGCACCGTGCCTAAAGCCAACTGCTCTTGAGAGCACTACACACAGATGTCTTCATTCCCCACCCACTTTACTATCCCTGCCCCACTGGCCTCCACATTTGGTTAAAGTGAATTTCAACAAAGAATTAGTTATCAGATTTTACAGGCCCCTAAGCTTCAAAAACACTTCTCAATGCCAGTTCACAGGGACTGTTGTTGATGGTTAAAAAAAAAAGTTACCTTTGTAGCACTAGCAGGTGTCTGAGGACCTCTGAAGTCTCCGTGAGACTCCAAAATACAGAACTCCGGGAAAGAAGCGATCTGACTCCCTAATAAAAGTGCACATCACCCCCCAATCTTCTAAGAAACCTGATGCTAAGGGCTGCACTTTGGAAATCTGCGTGGACAAGGTTTTCCTTTAATTTTCCCCTAAAGCATCTTACAAAACCAGGGCTCTCCAAAGTTTCTAGCCAAACGGGAGCCTGCCTTCTAAAACCTGAGCTTCTCTACCTGGAAAGAGCATTCTTTTCTCTGCGTTTATATTTCAAAATGCTCAGACACATCTGTCACTTTGCGGAAGTGGCTGCTGTCCTTCGAAAACGGCCTGCTATCCAGACCTGCGGCTTCTGCGACCAAGAGACCTTTCAGGGAGATGTGGCGGCTGCCGGCCCACTGGGGTCCTTAGCCCGATAGGGTCCGGCGCTCCAGAGGCTTCCCTTCGCGCGCCCGCTCGCGACAGGAGGTTGCGGGAGTTGGCCTGGGGGTTCAGGTTCGTCACCTCGAACGCCCGAGCTGGCGCGTCCCCAGCCTCCGCCCCCGCCCCCGCACACGCTCTCCGGGCCGCGACGCGGGGGAGATTCGCCCCCTCCCGGAGGCGGGCGCGCCAGCGGCGGTGCCGGGACCCGGCGTGCGCTCGCGCTGCCCTGGCCCCGCTCGCCCCGCGCCGCCACCGAGCTGCGGGTCACGCCCTCTCCGCGGCCGCTCTTCTCTCTCTCGCCACACCTCTGCTAAAAACAGGCGGCCTCGCTTCTAAGACCCCGAGCACAAGACAACCGCCCCCCCCCCAAAAAAAAAAAAAGTTCTGACTTGAGACACACGCAGCGCAGAAGATGGTCGGGTCAAAGCAGGGGACACGGCCGGCCAGGCTGACTCGAGCAGCCCCGGACCCCCGGCGCAGCCCCTCCCCGCGTCCCCCTCGCCGCTGCCGAAGGACAGGCCAGCCCAGGGTCAGCCCAGGGTCAGCACGGGGTCCCGAAAACTGCGCCTGGGCCCCGGAGGCCGGCGGGCAGGAGAGGCACTGGCGGGGCAGCCCTGGCAGAACCGGGCGCGGAGGGGAGCTAACCGCACGCCCCGGAGGGCTCACGAGACGGGACATTGTCACCGACAATGCCGCGGGGGGAGGGGGGCGGCGGCGGGGGCTGCCCCCTTCCCCTCGCCGCCCCCCACACCGCCAGGCCAGAACACACACACTCGCACACACCCACAAACACACACGCCCGGACTCCGCCCCAGACCCGGGGACAGAGGCGGGGAAGGTACGCGGCGCCCCGCCCGGGGTACCTGCCCGGCCCGCCGCCTCGGGGCGGGCGGACGGACGGACGCGCGGGAGGGAGCCGGCACCCGGGCGTCCCACCTGGGGAGCCTCGGGGCGCCGGCGGGCCGTCGCAGCGCCACAAGTCCCCGGCGCGCCCCTCTCCGCCTCCCCCCACCCCCGCCCCGGCACAAGTTCGCGGGGCCGCCGCCGCCCTCGCCCGCCGCCCTTCCTTACCCAGATACTGCCGCAGGTCGAGCAGGAAGCGAGGGGGTCCCCCGCTGAGCTGATAGAAGAGGGAGCCCAGGCAGAAGACCAGCAGGGTGGCCATGCAGAAGCCGTAGTCCCGGAGCGAGAAGCGCACGAACGGCAGCAGGGGCACCCGGCGCTTCCAGCTGCCCAGGCCCGGAGGGGCGCCCCCCAGAGGGGCCCCATGGGGCCAGGGGTCCGCGCCGCCGCCGGGATGCTGCTGCTGCTGCTGCTTCTTCTTCATCGCCTGCTCCGCCGCCTCGCACAGCCTGCCCGTGCCAGGAAAAGGTCACCCATCCGCCTGCGAGGAGGAGAGCCCGGCCGGCCGGCTGCACATGGGCAGGGCCGCGCGGAGGGCAGCCCGGGTGGGGGCGGGGAGGGGCCGAAGTTGCCGGGCTCAGGAGACTTTCCTCGGCATGGTCCCCGCCGCCGCGGCCCGAGCGGCCGAGGTGCCCCGGCCCTGGCCCCGGCCCCGGCCCGGCCCGCGCCCGCTAGCGCCCCCGCGCCCCGCGCCCCGCCGCGCCCCGGGCTCGCTCGCGGCCGCCGGGGCTCGCCTCCAGCGCCAGCGTGGGCCCCCCGGCTTTGTGTGTGTCGGTCTCGGCGTGTTTTGTCCCGGTTCAGACTCCTCTGAAAGACGGCAGGGAGGAACGGGAGGCGGACACCATCGCCTCGCTCCACCTCCTTGACAGGGGTTTTCCTTCCCCTCCCCTTTCCCTCTCCGGCGCTCCGCGGCCCTCTCTCCTCCCTCTCCCCTCCCCTGGCGGCGCTCGGGGCTCCGGGTTTCTCTCGGGTGTCGCGTTACTGCCTCTGACCCGGGAGCGGGGCGGGGGGCGGGGGGGGCGGCGATTCTTCGCAACGAGGAAGAAAGTTTCTGGGTGTTTTTCTCGTTCCCCCTTTCTCTACAATCTGGCCTCAGTTTCTGCGCCACCAGCGACCTCTTGGGGGCCCCGCTGACTTCCCTCTCTTGTAAACAGTCACCGGCAGAAAGAAGCACGACTTCTTTTAGTATATATACATTTTTCTAAATTTCAGGGACTTGATTCTCCTTCTGGATCCGAGGTGCCTACAAAAGACCGGCAAAAAAAAAAAAAAAAAAAAAAAAAAAAAAAAAAAATGTTTTTTGGTTTTATTTTTTTTTTTTTTTTTTTTTTTTTAAATGTTTTATTTATTTCGACGAGAGAGAGAGAGAGACAGCGTGAGCAGGGGAGGGTCAGAGAGAGAGGGAGTCACAGACTGAAACAGGCTCCAGGCTCTGAGCTGGCAGGCAGCACAGAGCCGGACGCGGGGCCCGAACCCACGAACTGCGAGATCATGACCTAAGCGAAAGTCGGACGCTTAACCGACTAAGCCACCCAGGCGCCCCTTGGGTTCAATACTTTACTGAGATGGTCCAAGAGCAAGTGGTGTGCATTATAATTCAACGTGTCCCCCCCGCCCCCCGGGGCCAGGCTGCTCGCCCCGACTCTTGGTAGAGAAAGGAAAGAGGACACTTTCTTCTTGCTCACCGGGCTACTCATCCACGTAGCGCCCGGAGAGGCCGGGCGGTGGTACAGACCTGACTCAAGGAGGCCCTTCCCCTAGGCGATACGACGGGAAGGGCCTTTGCATACCCACTTCGCCGCTGCCTCTCTTCCTCCCTTCCTCGGGAAGTTTCTGGACCTCAGAGAGGTCCTCCCAAGGTAGAAAAGACCTCATCCAACACAGATCTGGTGATGGGGGTGGGCGATGCACGAAAAGGCTTCTCTTTCAGTAAGAATCATTTAGTGCTGTATTGAGAAGCTGTGCCACTTGGGGCCTCAGGGATTTGCGCGAAGACACAAAGCTTCTAGGAGTCCAGTGGGGAGCTCCGAAGCCCACTGAACTAACCACTGCTCCGCACTGTCTCCCTTCTCTCTTAATTTGCACAGTGATTGGAGGAAGAGATAAAACTCATTCTGCCCAGGCCACCTTGAGAAAGGAAACCTTGCGTTTTTGGTGCCTCTCACTGTAACATTCCAGAAGCAGACAGCCGGTTGCAAGAAAGGATCAAGAGCCAGGGACCTCTATGATTCTAAGACTGTTTTCCTGAAAACCTTTTTAAAGGTGGGTATCAGAAAACTTTTCTATGGACAATGAGAGAAGAGGATCCTGAGATCAGGAGCTTATAATTTAAGAAAAATACGATTTAACCATAATCCATGCCTCCCTTTCATTCCCGATTTGAAATGGGTGAAGAAGATACAACGATCTTAAGCTGGAGAGAGTTAAAGACAGTTCGGGTAGTGTCGCTCACATGCACACACAACTCCTACCTCGCAGCTCTGTGCCCTAGCCCACTTTCTCAGGGACCGGAAGGCTGCTTTGGCGTTCAAAGGGAAGTCCCTTTGTTCTGTCACCAAAAATCCTAGACTGTTAATGGGTTGTTTCACATTTATTCTATGAATCAGAGATTTACTTGGATTAATATGCACATTTGAGATTTGTGAATGCCCCCGAGAGAATTAAGGCAATCAGTCATTGCCCATTAATGCGAATTACTTTAATCACCACACTGAGTAGCCCAGAATAGGCTCCCAATTAATAATTTTTGAGTTAATGAAGAGGGACTGAGGGATGGAAGAGCAAAGCAGGGTTGATAATTTTTCTGATACCACCTTTGACAAATCATACCTGTGCCTGCGGCCTGGCCCCGTGCTATGAGTGTTTTTCATTAGATGTAAAGGTACTGTGCAAGGGCCCGCGGGCTTGCAAGGCCTGCCCAGGGTCTAGAGGCTTCCCTCGCAGAATGGGTTGGGAAGCCTTCCAATTCTTTCCCCTCAACAAAGGAATCTGAGCAAGAGTGAGATTATAACAGGGAGATGGAAGCAGGAAGAAAGGAAGTAAACATCTGTAAAAGTAAGTAAATATGGGAATAAGAGGTTGTGGTTTTCTTCCAGTTGTGAAAGAGTTTTGAGGCAAGGAACCAGCTTAGAAGAAATAAGATGTGACATGAAGAATTGTAGAAAGAAAAAACAGGTCCATCTTTAAAAGGTTGCGTTAATGGGCTAATAGCCTTTAAAAAACTCAGGAAGGGAAAAAAATCAAGGTAAACAGAAGTTGTATGTGGGAGGGGGGGGAATGCCTTGTATTTTTACCTGACAAACACTTAGATTTGGGGGTAAAACTTTGCTCTTTGAAGTCTTGTAAATGTCCCGTCCAAAAAAAAATAAAGTATTTACACTGATGGATGAATAGTATCCTTATTCAAACCAGTTAATAAATGAACTAATTATAGGAGTTTGTGAACAATTTTTATTCATAGTCTTATACTTAATATACTTTGTTTAACGCCTTGGCGTCGAGTATCTTGGGCTTCTTCATCCCTTTTCTCGTCAGTGACTTTTCCTCCCTCTGATCGGAGCCCCTCATTTTCAGCAGTCGCCTCTGTGACCACCAGCAGCTGTCCGGCGGGGCTCCTCAAGTGTCCATCCCCCGGCCATTTTTCAGCCTTTTCAAGAGCCCTCAACTCTTCAATCCTTCGTCACCGTCATCTTGTGCGTTCACTTGCTTCTTTCTCCAGCTTAGATACCTGACCCATCATTGTGAACCGTGTCTTGCAGACACCCTTTCAGCCCTGGGTTCCTTTCATTTGCTGTGCTACGGACTCGTCTGGCAAAACCCCGCTAAGCCCAACAGTGCCGCCATATCGGACTGCAGAAGGACACACAGTGTACGAACTGCTTCGCTTTGAATTGGCCCAAATGTCCAGCAGAGCCTGCTCATTGCTGCCCAGTAATCCCCGCTCTAACATGACTACTTTTGCCTCTCTCTCTCTTCTGCCATCTCCATCCTGTATCTCTATTCCTTCAGTCTCAGCTGGTGATCTGTCCTCATTCTTTAATGAGAAAATGGAAGCCTTGGGTAGGAACGCCTTCATTTCTCCACCAGTCTATGCCCCACGCTCTCTACCTTCCTTCATTTCTCTGTGGCCCTCCCTTCTTTTAGCAAGGCCAACATACCACTGGCCTGGACACTTGATTCTGCCCAAACCCAGCTTCCCCCCCCTACGCACACACACCCACATGCTCTCTCCCTAGCCTCTGCGTCTCTGTAATGAATGGCACTATCAACATGCTTGGTGCAAAACCTGGAAGTCTCCCTCAGTTTTTCTCCTCCTGTGTCTAATGCATCTGCACATCCTTAAGGCTCAACCTGCAAATCCATAACCAGAATATGACTTGCTTTGCTACCACTCTGGTCCACCGTTTCTCTCACCTGGATGACTGCAGTGGCCTCCTATATAGTTTATGTTTAGGTTCAGCTGCGTATAGCTAAAAACTCCAAGGTAAGGATGGCTTGGACAATATAGGAGTGCACTCCTCTCTCTCGTGAAACAAGTCCAGAAACAGGCAGTGTGGACAGAGCATCTCCACGCTCTCACCAGGGACCTATCGGAGCTTTCTGTTCCGCCGTCCTCATTTTAAAGGCTGCAGCTCTAGCCATTATAATTATGTTCCTGGCTAGTAACAGGAGGAAGCAAATGAGGAAAAAAGACCTCCTCCCAGCGGAGTAAGCTCCTTTTATGCAGTGTTCCAAAAATGCTGCCAATCATCTTCTTACAGTTCTTTGGCCAGAACTTGGTCACAGGACTATGGTCCGGTTCTAAAAGGAGAGCCAAGAAATAGAGATTTCAGCTGGGCACACTGCTGCCACCAGGAAAAATCGGGGTTCTAGTACTAAAATACGAAAGGACAGGTGGTGACTAAATGGCAGCCAGCAGTCCTGGCCATTCCTCCTTTGCTCCCAGCCTTTCACTCTAAACTTGCCCATGGCTCCCAAAGCACTCAGAGGAAAAGCTAAAGTCATTGCAGTGCCCTACAAGGCCCTATGCAGTCTGGCCCATTATCTTCCTGACCTCATCTCCGATCACATTTCCCTACTCTACTCGCCCCATCACTGTTCACCAGGCAGACAAAACTTGCTCCTCTACTAGGGCCTTCGCAGCTGTAGCCCCTCGGCCTAGAAAGTTCTTTTCCCAGATCTGCACATAGCTTGCTCTTGACTTCCTTCCAGTCTCTACCCAGTGTTACTTTATCAAAGCAGTCTTCCCTGACTATCCCCTACAGAGTGCACACATGCGCCTGCATTTCATATTTCCTTGTCCTGCTTTCACTTTCTCCACAGAATTTACCATAATCCGAAAGGTTGGTATTTTTTATTTGGTATATATCTCCCCTCCCTGGAAAATAAGCACCAGAAGACTGTGATTATGTCTCACTCACAACTGCTCTTTCCCCAGCACCCAGGATAGTGCTTACAGGTGGTGGTCATTCAATAAATATTTATAGAAAGAAAGGTTAGTTTTTAATATGAAGGAATTGAATGACGTTCAGGGAGTCCGATCTCATTATTCCATGTCTGGCCAATTGGGGGTTGGAGATGGGGGAATGGAGAGCAAGTCTGCATCTCCTAGAACATTCAAATGATCATTGAAGGGATTGTTTGAGGTCAAAAATGTGTTTATTGGGAGGAA